TGTCCTATTTTGATATTTTGACTAATAATTCATGGATGAAAAAAATTAAAATATGTATGAGAACTGTAGTTTGCACCTTTGCCTCACAGCAAGAAGGTTCCTGGTTTGATGGATGGATAGTATCAGTGAGTAAGTGAAATCTGGGGCAGTTTGATTGAATTTAAGGGGACTGCTGGGCCCTGGCAGAGGTATGTCCTCCTCTGAGTGCCACTCTGGGTCAGTTTGTTTCATCGACAGACCTGAAAGTGTCTCCAATGCGATCTTGAAAGAAGACAAATCCCTCATGGTCGATCTTCAGCAGGTCGCCGCTGTTAAAGTAGAGGTCGCCCTTCACAAAGACATCTCTCAGCTTCTTCTTCTCTGTCTGCTGCGTGTTCTTGGCGTAGCCAACGAAAGGCGTTCTTTCTCCAATCTTCACCACGAATAAACCGGTTTCTCCTGCAGGTAAGAAAACATCGAGCTCAGGATACGTATGGGTGAGAGTTAGGTCAAAAAAAGCACCATATGTGTTGCGAGAGGATTGGCTCACCATTGGGGACTTCAATACAGAATCCTCTGGAGTCTCGGACAGGCTCTTCCTTCTCTGTATCGTACCTTATGAGTTTATAGGAATATCCCATCTGAAAAACAGTTTGAGGCGACAAAACACACTGAATGTCAGAATAAATATTTCACCTCGGCCAAGGAGACTACGTTATCACCCCTGTTGTTCATTATTTGTTTGTTTGTTTGTTTTACCAAGATCTGTTTTGTCAACTTCACACTTGAATTATAACTGAAGTCTCATCTAATCTAATCATCTATTGCTGACAAACTGCATTTGCTCATTTATTTAACTGTGCTAATAAAATAAAATAAAAACATTTTACCTTGTGTATAAAATTCTCTTTGCCAATAGCTCCAATTTTTCCAATGTAGTTGACAAAGCCAGCATTCCCCTCCGTCGCTCCGTAGCATTCAACGATACGAATGTTCCCATATCTCTGCAGGAACTCTTCCCAGGTGTCGGCCCTTATCCCGTTTCCGATGGCCATTCGGACTTTATGATCTCTGTCAATGTCGCTCTAGAGGAGAGGAGTGGAGTGAAGGAGAACAGGGAGTCTGGCTGCATGTATCAGCTGTATATTGTTAGTAACACCATACTTATGTGATACTGTGGTTCACCTTCGGTGTGTTGCATAGGTAGCGCATAATCTCTCCTATGTACTGAATGACTGTCACGTTGTACTTTCTACAGTCGTTCCAGAACTGAGAGGCAGAGAATTTACGTCTCAAAACCACAGTCATGCCTGGAAAACAAAGAGACACAGATTTCAGCGGAGGGCTCGTTGAGGGTTGCAAACCTCTGAACTTTGAACTAAAAAGAGGGAAGAGCCAGAGCAAAGCTGCCTGTTACTTAAGGTCATATAATTGTTAGTTGAACCTTTAATAACCTCAATGCCATCAACAGGCGAAGCGTGCAAATCATGTTGTGTAGTTTTATGATTATTTTGTGTTCATTTTGCTGTAAAGTGTTTTATGGGAAATACTGAATTACCTTTGTCTATGGCTCCACACAGTCCCATCAGAAAGCCTGCACTGTGGTAGAGGGGCAGGTATGTGTAGATAATGTCGTCCGAGCGAATGCCAGCAACAGAAATAAAGAAAGACGACAACCATAGTCTCTCGTGGTTAATTACAGCAGCCTTGGGAAGCCCTAAAAGACAAACACTGTCATTGTGCTGTGGTTTTAGTGTCTTGATTATGTCTTTCAAGGTCTAAAACATAAAAATGCGAACACAGATAAGAAGTGAAGGTTAAGTAAATCCCACAGATTACCTGTGGTTCCTGAGGTATAGATGTACAGCGCTGCACTCTTGTGGTTTACGTTGGCCCTCAGCTGACGGGACAGAGGCTGGTCTGAGGCGTGCTGAATTTTATCCGTGAGGCTTTCGATGCCCTCCACATCACACTCCTCACTGAAGATGAACACGCGGACACCCTGTTGGTTTAAGGTGGGCAACACCTCCTCCACAGCCCCTCGTAAATCTGAGACACACAACACAAAGAGAGTCGGTGCAAATCTACTGAGTGAGAGTTAGAGAGGAAAACAAGGAATTCAGCTGGTTCTCAGTAGCTCAATAAACTTAGATTGATGATGTCTGCTCTGACCAACACATCCACTGAGCTTATTGCAGATATGTTGTATCCTTTGATTTGGCTCATCAATTAACATTTAGCTAAAATATTTTATAGTAAACTCCACCAAGGATGTTTTCGTCTGCGTTTGTTTGTTTGATGGCGTGAGGGGTGGGGCATGACTCAAGGAACAAGTGTTAAGTTTTGGTGCAGATCCAGATTAGGGGATGGATGCAAATATACTCTTCTTAACCGTGGTAGATTTATTGGGAGTGTTTTTCAGTTTTCATTTTCATTGATTTCTCAGAGAATAATTCATTAAAATATCTCCACCAGTTCACTGATTTTACTGAACACAGTGTTTGTGTCATTCTGGATTAATTACAACCGCAACAACCAAAGCACAATCTTGAAGAACGCTGGATCTTTATTAAAATGTTACTAATCTACTTCTATGTTTTATGACTAGAAACAGGGTCTCTTATGTTTTTAGCTGTGATCCATGTGGGGACGCAGCTCCAGAAGAGAGGAACAGAAGACCTTTAGGTGAAACACATGGTGTAAATGATGCCATTAAGAATTAAATTTGAATATCAGGGCTCACAGACACTTGGATGACATCACAGGAGCAGTATGGATGCATTTTGTCACCATTTGCTTCAATTGTATTGGATCTGGCTGAACACTGTGTACTCCTGAAACTCCAAAAGTGTTTTATGGACTCTCGCTTCACTTCACCCACCCCTCCACCATGGTGGCGAGTAGATAGTGTGTGAAATCTCATTTTTGGGTGAACTATCCCATTAAAGTCGGTATAATTCAAACGGAGCCTAACATGAAACTTTGTCCTCTCAGTGCAAACAACAGACAAACGAGAGCAGATCTGATCTCGTGGAGGTTTGTGCGTCTCACCAGCAGCAGCCACCAGGACCTTGGCTCCGCAGCAGGAGAAGCAGTGCAGCAGAGACTTGGACCTGATGTTGGAGTTGAGCAGAGAGGCCGTGCAGCCAAGTTTGGTCACAGCCAACCAGGTCCAGATGAAGTTTGGCTCGTTGCCCGCAATCAGGGCCACCGTGTCCCCCTCCTTGAGCCCGGCGTGCTCCTGCAGAGCTCTGGCCACCCTGTTGCTCTGTCTGTCGGCCTCATGGTACGAGTACGAGCTCCCTTCGAAAACGATGAACGTCTTCTGTGGCTGCGTCGCCACTTTGTCCAGAAAGCTATCCAAAATGCTGTAGAAAGGTTTCTGCTTCTTGATCCTGCCAATGCGTAACGCGATTTGGATCGAAGTGATCGCGAAACACAGATCTGCCCAAACGTATCGGTTTCTCGCGAAAAGCAAAAAGGGCCAAATTGCCAAAAACGTAAAAATGACGTATAAAAGCATTTCTGTTTCTGCAGGAACGCTTACGTTGCGTGTTTCAACAAGAATCCCGAAAACCTTCTACGAACATCAGTCGGATCTGGTTTTCCAGTTTACGCCCATTGAACTTTGGGCTATTTTCCTTCGCAGGGGTGTAACGAGAGAAGAGTGTGTCATAGGAGGAATGTGTATGAAACAGTTGATAAGGGAAAACTATTTATCCGACCCAGGGATTCAAAGTTTAAATGTATTCCTGTTGGAAACACATGGAACTACAAATTAAAGAGTATGTATGCAGGATGTTTCAAGAGAATTTTGGGGCCCGAAACATGACATCAGACCACAATCATCAAATTGATCTTTAAAAAAAAGAGGAGACAGTGCATCTATACTTACTAATTCCACAATTGCTTTTCAAACATGCACTGGACTCCAGAGAGTCTCTGCACTTTCTCTGGAGGAGGTGCCAGTGTGAACGCATATGTCTGAGTGAGAGCCTCTGGATTTACTGTGGACTTTCTCTGCCTGGCCTCCGAGTATAAAGTCTGGGGGGGGGGGCGGCATGTTCTGCATGAAAACATAACACCAGTTAAATATTCATAACGATTCAAACTTAAGCCACACACACAACCCTAATAAAGCAAATGTTTCATTTTATGAAAAACATCGACTATAGAACTCTTTATTGCAGGTAAACCAGGTAGGAGTTTTTCTAACTTCCCTCTGCACCAGAGGCTGTTCATAAAAAGCTCTGCACACAAGAAATATAAAGTGACAGTATATATTGTAGAAGTGTTTACGTAGGACTCACTAACGACAATGAATCATTGTGAAGTAGACTCTGTATAACTCATTATTTCTTGTGTATTTCTTTATAAGTGTTTACTGAATGAAAAAGAATTTGTTTGTAACTGATTAGACAGACTGATCTTCACAGCACCTCACCTGCTGTAACTGCAGCAGTTTACGAGGACTTTGTTCCCCTGAATGAACTCTGAACGACCAGACGTTTTTAATCATTAAAGACTAAACCATCCATGTTAGTACATAAGTTCTCCCTCTGTGCACTTTTGGTCTGGTTCTCTTTCTCATAGTTTGAGCATCTTATTTTCAAATCTTACTGCGTCACCAAATAATTATTTCTTTTAGACAATATGCTTCCAACAGTCTTCTGTGGAAACCGTGTGAAGCTGTGTCTGACACAGATCTGACCACATCCAGCAGCTGTGGGTTCAACAACTGGCAAATCCCTGCTGACAAATCAGTGGAGTGGAGCCTAATCTCTCAGATCATCAAATCAGTTTGATTTAAAACAAAATGTTCAACAGTCACTTTTGGGTGAGATGTATGTGTCCACATTCATTTCTTCTACATTTTTGTTTGTGGTTCTGTATATTCCAGCTTCACTAGGGACAGAGTTTCTGGTGGCATGTGTCTCCACCTTGTGGTTTTTTCCCACAATTGTCAAACCTGAAATTGTGTCTCTGTATTGTTTATATGATGAATAAAATGAGAATATATGGACACAGGAATCACTTTAATATTTAGGAGAATAATTCATATATGTACAGGTATTGGCACATGAATATAAATGTTGTGTTTGGTCTTTTTAACTAATAACCACTACATCTGGCCTCTGGGCCATACACAGCTTGCAAGACAATTACATCCAGCCTGACAATTCATAACAGGCATAAAGAGAACTCAGAAACAATAAAAAGGATCATGACAGCAATTAATCCTTTTTGCCATAAAATAAAAAGGGATTCAAATTGATGAGTTGCAAAAATCTAGGATAGAATCTAATGCTCTTCAGATTTGAAACAGTTGGAAACAGCTCACTTCCCAATTTTGGTTTTCTGATTTCAAAATCTGCTGGCCACTACCTACACGGACCGTGTACACTCCACGCCAAGAATACGCATCATAAGTTTGCCATGAGAGCGTCTACGCTGCCAAAATACAGAAGAGAGTTTATTAAAAAAAAACACCAGATGTTAGTGGGTGTTAGCAGGTTTTTTGACCAGTGAAACGTTAGTGTGATTATTGTTCAGTAATCTATGGCCCCTGAAAGATGTTCTGAAAATAGGAAAATGGTTTTCCACTCCAGCTTCACGTTACTCACATCTTTTCTTAAAACAATTTACTCTTCTGTGAGAGAAAGTCTAATGGCCATCGTCAAACATTGTGTCTTTACTGCTCCCAGCCAGAGCAACACTTTGTCATACTTGTTAATATACTATTTATATAATCACTTGCAAGAAAATATATATTTCATATCAAACTCCCTCCTCCTCCCGCAGACTGACTCTGACCCCTGAACCCAAACAAATCAATCATGGTTCCCACGTACTGCTTTTAACAAAGTTGTCTATATCTCAATTTTTTGAGATTTGTTCCCTGAGTTAGAATGTCATTATAAAAAACTCAATGCCACTATAGCCAGAAAAGTCTGCACAGTTAGTGAACACAAGGCATCTGTTCATAGTTTGATGTCTCCTGATTTGATGGAGCTGTAGATCTGATCTGTCAGTGGAACGTAGCTCTTCTCATTATCATCGAGGATATAAAGAGGGTCCTGGATACGTCCTGGATCAAAACTCTCCTCCACTAACTTCACCTTCATCTGCTTGAAGGTGCCAGTGACCTCCACGGCATTCTAGATGGAAGAAAAGTGCAATGTCCTTGGTTAAACTACAGCAGTGGTCTGGCGGCAACAGCAATAACATCTGACCCACAAGATCATTTGATAATGTCATTATTATTATTTCACCATATCTGACTGACATAGACATTCATGGGTGCCACGGGTGCTGATCTCTGTTATGACTTCCTCATTAGCAAATGTATTTACAAAGTAAGAACATCCTTTTTTCTGCTGCAAAGCTTTAAAGGTACAGTGTGTAGAATTTTGTGAGATCTAGTGTTGAAATTGCATGTTGCAGCTGAATACCCCTCACCTCACCCTCTCCTTCTAAACATAAAAAAGAACCTGTCGAAGCCTTCAGTTGTCATAAAAACTCAAAAGGTGTTTAGTTTGTTCAGTCTGGACTACTGTTAAAAACAGGGCGGCCTCCGTAGAGAGGACCCTCTCTATGTAAAGTATTTAAATACAAAGGGCCTTTTCTGGGGTAAAGAAAACTACAATTCATACAATTTAGATGAAACACACTAGTGAAATCATCATGAGGATTTTTTATATTATATTTCTGCCAATAGTTCCCTTTCACCTAGATCTTACATACTTGACCTTTAAATAGAGCTGAATTACAGAGCTTTTATTTTGAAGTTGTGAAAATGTATGGAACAAAATACAGGCATGTTAAGAATGAGCACTGCTCCCGTGTATTTTAATTTGATGTATCTGGTGTTTCAGTAAAGTGTCTATGAAGTGACATTACCTGTATCCTTATGAAGCGAGGTCGGGCGTATGAGGGCAGGTAGTTGACCACATGGTTGTACATTTTACTTCCATCAAACTCGTCGCCTTCCATCAGAGTAGCAGCTGCCATACCTGCCCGCCCCTCATGCCCTACATTGCCAAACAAAATAGACAAAGCACTTGTTAATATAAGATAAGTGAGGATAGTCTTTCACCCTGTGAAGTGAAGTGTACAGAAGAAATGAACATCACCTGCCACTTGGACTCCATAAACGTTGGCTTCTTTGAGGCAGTCACTGATCGTCAGGATGTCCGACACCTCAGTTGTAGCCACGTTCTCACCTTTCCACCTGTAGGCGCACGCAGTTCTCAACTTTGTACAAAATGTCACATACTGATATATCAACCTGTATACCTGTGTACGTATATATATATATAAATATAATATAATAATATATAGGGTGGTATGCCTTCCTCAATTTTTAAGAATTTTGAAAACACAAATAAACAATAAATATAGAACTCTAAAAAATACATATAATTATTTGAACACAAGTGCAGATGTTTCTTCTATGTAACAATAATGGAATGCGCCTTTAATAGCAAGAGGCTATTCATAAAATATGAAGGAAATAAAAACTGGGACAATAAAAAAACTCCCATTGAGCTAATTGAACACACTATGAGGTGAAATGTCTGTTCACTGTTCAAGTCTTTATCTCGTGGTTGTACAATATGGTGGTTGTACAATATGGCTGATATTACAGTGTAAAGTTATAAACGATTATTCTGTATGAAGCTAACTTCACAGGAGCTCTGTACCTGAACGTGTCGCCAACACGATCCTGAAAGTAAATGAAGTTTTCCTCATCGATCCTCATGAGGTCTCCACTGTTGAAGTACAAATCTCCTTTCTTCAGAACATCACGAAGTTTCTTGCGCTCCGTTTGATCTTTGTTCTGGGCGTAGCCGACAAAAGGAGCGATGTCTGTGATCTTCGACACCAGCAGTCCTGACTCACCTTGAAGAAAAGCCACAGACATTACTGACGTTAACTATCGATGGACTCACCAGGGTCCTGGATTTGTTGGTAAACAGACTCACGTGTAATATCAAGTGTCATGGTTACAAACAACAAGCCTATAAAGATGGACGACATGACAGCTTCTCAGAAGTGAAACCAAAGCACCTCATTCGCCCTCTAGTGGTAAATACTTGTTCCGCAAAGATGATTCTATCATCGTAGGTAGTTCTTATCACACTGGTGTGTTCAATAATTATTTTTCTCTGCTAAGTTTTGACTTAATTAGTTATTTGATGCAATAAAAACGGGATTGGTCAAGCACTTATATAGGCGGGACCTCGCCTAATGCGCAGACTCCAAATGCACAAGATGGCAGCGTTCGTGTCCAGGATATTTTGGCTTCATTTCAGGACAGTGGGAGGAAGTGGAGACATGTCATCCATCTTTATTTATAGTCTTATGAGTCTTAGTAACTGTTGTTTCTTCACCTCTGGGCGCCTCCACACAGAGGCCGTTAGAATCTCGAACGGGTTCATCTCGCTCTGTGTCGTACTTAATAAGAGTGTAGGGAAACAGCTTCTACCGGAGGAAGTAAAACATCAGTGATAAGAGAAATGAGCCCAGAATAAACTACTGCATATACTCATACTGTTGATATGAACAAGGACAATGCAGAATGGTTTGCATAGCACGCACAATAAAAATAATCTGAACTTAAAGCTTTTTCAGATGACTCTATCACATCTCACGGTCGTCTCCCAGACTCAGCTGATGGGTGCAGCCGTTCCCTGCTCCACCATTAGATACTGTTAGAAGCTCACGGGAAAAAAGCTGGAAGCCGAGTACAGATCATTTGGACACACAGCTTAATAAAAAAGATAGTAAATCTATACAAATTCAAAGCAAATACACTTTTGCTTTTCTTCTTGTTTTTGGATGATCTCATTCTTACCCGATGGAAAAAGTTGACACGTCCGATGGCTCCAATTTTTCCCGCATAGTTGACAAATCCCACATTTCCCTCAGTGGAGGCGTAGAACTCTTGGACCTCGATGTTGCCAAAGCGACTGAGAAACTCTCTCCATATGTCGGCCCTGATTCCATTGCCGATGGCCAGTCTGACTTTATGGTCCTTGTCATTTTCTTTCTGCATTTTCAGAAAAAAGAAGATTCACATATGAAACATTGTACATTGAGTATTGCAGTGTTTGTTTTAAATCACACTAATGTGAACTTATATGCTTTGTAAAAGAATCAGTCATCTAATTAGACCCTTTAATAAATAGGATTTGACACCTTTTAATGAAGTACGACTAACCCCTGTCTATATGATTAGCTCACTCAAGCAAAGACTTTAGTGTGAAAAAAAACATACAAATGTATAAAAAGTACAATTTAATGTCATGAATGTGGCCATAAAGTCAAATACTAGTTCCAGGGAGATTTGGTTGCCAGGTTACTTGATATGGTCCTTCTAAGTTAAGGCCAGCATCTATTCCTAGAGGTGACCAGATACAGACGAGCCACCTCCTCTGGCTGGTGTAGGGTCATGCAGTAAATTGAGACCGCACTTCATGTGATGCAACCGGATACTCTGAATGGCCTTACATGTCGACAAAATGTTTACAGTACATCCAATTTCGGCTGACGCGTTTTCAAGAGACATCATGAGTTGGGAGTCAGTCTCGTAGCTTGAATATTTGTCACGTTTACGGCGGATGTTGACACGTGTCCGCAGCCTGTTTCATCCTGTTCAAACCCTTGCAGATACTGCAGCAGAAGGCTGGAACATGATAGTTGAGATTTGTCTATTTCGGTAAGCCAGCTGTGCAGCAATGTGGTAATGTTCAGGAGATAACTGTAAGGATGATCGGTCTCAATGGGAGCTTGCTGCAGCCGGTTCATGGTGCCACCGTGGCCAAGAAGTTTTACGGTAGTTTGGACGGCAGAGAAGGAATAGTGACTGCGGCACCCTGCCAGAGATCCTGTGTGACCATGTTTGAGCTGCAATATCTCTAGTAACTGGAATGGCACTCAGTAGAGCACAAACCTCTCTAATAGTCCTCTTTAGTTCAATCTCGCTGCACCTAACTTCACGCTGGTGTCAGTCTCTTAAATATGCCTGATTTCTTTAATCAAAATTCATGATTTGTTTCCTGGAAATCAGTGAAAATTTAATTCCTGGATCTGGCCCCAGATCTGGATCTCTCTCTGAATCTCTCCTTATTTTACACCAAGCTTTTCTTGTTTCAGTTCATATATTTGTTTTAATAGATTCACTCCCTTTAAATTAAATTTTATGAACTTTTCCTAAGGCTATTACTTTTGCTCTCGGTTTTATTATTTGGCAAATGTTACAGTTTGTGTTTCTTGGTTTCTTGGAATGTTTGGTTAATTTTCCGTTCTGTGCTAAATTGTAAATGAGGTCCCTAACTCATTTACGAAGTATTCCCAGGTTAAAATTAAGGTTAAAAGAATGGATCCACACCAAAATGTAAAAGGTTGTTCTCTGAAGCAAACCACATCCTTCCATCAAGTTTTATGGAAACCCACCCAACAGTTTTTGAGTAATCGTGCTTACAAACAAACAATCAAACAGACGAGTGAAAAGATAACATCCTTGTCAGAGGTAATTAACAAAAGTGGTATTAAATGAATAGATAAAGATCAGTAAACATGAGAGTCAATATCATTAAACAGCTCCTTCACAACCACAACTAATGACTAATCCTGAAAATACAATTTTTTTTCTTTATTTCTGTCCAGAAGATTTGTTTTACATAAAGGCTCCATGTATTCTTGTTTCCCTGCCCCTGAGTAATGGGGGGAGTCACATTAACCTCCTGCCAACCGTAAATGACTGACCCTGGTTTGGGTTTCAGTTGAGATCTGTAGCCGTCACATGATAAACATGCAGCTGCTGAAGCTTTTCTGCAGCACAAAGAGAAAAATCTGCAAAGCAAATATTATTCCTACTTTCGCAGCTCTGGAAAAACTGCTAAGTTTTAAGCTTTGCAGAATTGAGGGCAGTTAGAATAATTTTACCTTTGCTGTGCTACAGAGGTAACGCATCACCTCTCCGATGTACTGGATGACGGTCACATTATGTTTCCTGCAGTCGTCCCAAAACTGAGAGGTAGAAAACTTCCTCTTCAGTATGATGGTTGATCCTTCAAAATAAGACAATAACAAACAGACCATTTGATTAAGACCAAAGGAATGTGATTGCAAAAGATCCAGTTGTCCAGAGTTGTTGACGACCTTGTTTGTCAGGGGTATTTATTCCAATATTTTCAAATCGAGCAATACATTTTGTATGTAAGCTGCGGCTCGATGACCGCAGGTCACTTTTACAGTTTCGGAATGAAAAGCTGCGACCAGCAACACCACAGGAAACGCAAACTGCCCATGACAGAGAACGGGCACTGCACTAGTATTTTAAATTGACTGAATCGAAGCTGAATTACTGTGCTTGGAACTTAAAGCTGGCAGTTCTACACCATGTGTAATTTACTTGCATGTGCCACAGGACTGTGATTGTTGTGGGGCTGTGTTGGATATCTCATAATGTGTGTGTGTCGATCTGGCTGCTTACCCTGACATATTAAAGCAGCGTGAACTTTGGCCTAATTGGACAAAAGCATTCAGAAAGTGGAGGTAATCTGGCTCTGTTCAGATTCCTGCTTCACGCTGACAAAAGACTCTTTCTCTGTTTCCCAAGGAGAAAAACCCCCCGAGGGAGAGTGAGGAGCAGGGACGTCACTTTCGTGTAGAGTTTTTTTACATTTTGCAATTTATGGGTGAGAAGCTCAAGAAGGAGTTGTGACAGGGGTAATTCTTCCAGAGTCGGTGTATGAGAAAATTACTTGACATTTAATAGTTTTATTTTCATATCAGTAAAATGATTCTACTCAATCTGTTTATCTATCTGTTTGGAAAATTCCAACATTTTTCTAGGACCACCTGGAGCAAGACCTGCCATAAATTAAACTTAGATAACCCACTCAACGTCTTAACAATCCTTTGTGACTATAGTTGTGTGTCAGTTTGGGACCACATCCTTCAGAAGCCGCATGTGTAGACCGATTGCGTCACAGCGGCGCAACAAGACTGTAACAATTCGAAGGCTCCTCCAGATGAATATCTTCCACCCCCCAGCAACAGACACTCCAGCTGGGTGGATCTTTCCCGACATATCCCATGATCCATTGTGTCTTTTTCAAAGAGGTAATGACGGCAAAAAACGAAGATGAAAACACTTGAAGAATGTATTTTTAAATTTAAGTTCTAAACCGAATGAATGATGAATGGATGAATGGATGGATGGATGAATGGATGGATGGATGAATGGATGAATGGATGGATGATTGGATAGATGAACTCTGGGCTGATGTAACAACTGCTTAAACTACAACTCAGTCGTCTCACCTGTCTCAATGGAGCCAATGAAGCCTATTAGAAACCCAGCTGTGTGGTACAGAGGCAGGTTGACGTAGATGACATCGCTGGACGTGACACCGTTTGAAGACAGAATAGCCAGAGCTATCAGGAGACGGTTCTGATTGACCACAGCTGCCTTAGGGAGACCTGGAATACACAGAGATCACTTAAGAAAACTGAAGGTTTGTCGTGTGTAAGTGAAAAGCAAACACACAGCCACTCAGATACCTGTGGTTCCAGAGGTGTAGATGTAAACTGCAGGACTTTTGAAGGTGATGTGTGATCGGAGGGATCGGGGGAGCGGGTCATCTGACGCTTCTTCCACTTTGTCAGAGAAGCTCTCGATTCCAGGCGTGTCACAGTGTCTGGTCATCAGGAGGACGGTGACGCCCTGCTCCATCAACGAGGGCAGCACATCCTCCACTGCCTCCTTCAGCTCTGCAGAGGGACACACAGCAGCACACTCAGGAGGATTAACATTGTGGGAAGTGACAGGAAATGAGAATCAACTGAGCTGAGAAACTTGTGACTGCATCTGAAACTACAGAGGAGTATGAGGGTCAGGCATGAGGAGAAGAATGAGAAGACATTTCGAGAAAAACTTTAAAATCAAAATAAAGTTGAAATGTCAAGAGTAATGTTGGAATGTTGAGAAATAGAAATCAACTTTATTCTCGACTCTTCAACTTTATTCTCGATATCTTGACCTTAATCTCATTACTTCTACTTTTGAACTTATTCTCAAAATGCAAAATTCTCATTTTTCCTTGTGCTTGGCCGGACTCATCCTCCCAGTTAAACAGTTGCTTTGGCAGAACTCTTATTAAACTGTCTAAGACACAAAGGGTTACGTTTTTTGCAGTGTATATCCAACATCAGTGTAAATGTAGTAACAGCTCCTTGAAGATCTCATGTAAAGTTTGAATCTTTAAAGTAAATAAATCAGCAGTGAGCCTCATACCCGGGGCACATATCAGCACCTTGGCCCTGCAGCAGCTGAAGCAGTGCAGCAGAGACTTGGTGCGGATGTTGTGGTTGAGCAGAGCCACGGGGGATCCTAACTTAGCCAACGCCAGCCAGGTAATCAGGAAGGCGGGTTCATTCCCCATGAACAGAGCCACCGTGTCTCCAGCTGTGAACCCAGGGTGAATCTGCAGAGCGTTGGCCACTTTGTTGCTCCGTCTGTCCGTGTCCGAGTAAGAGAGACTGTCCTCTCCAAACACAATGAAGGGTTTGTCCTTGTGCGCCCCGCTCTGCTCCAAGAAACGGTCCAAAACAGAAAAGAGAGGTTTCCTCCTGCGCCTTGACGCAAACTTCACCAAGATCCGCAGCAGAAGTCCAAAATACTGCAGATCCTTCCACAGATAAGGGCAGAAAGCATTGACGGCGAACGGTACGATGAAGATACTTGCAAATAAAACAGAAACGACGCACAAATCCATCCTGCTTTGCTCTTTTAAGCTGCAGTTCCTGTAAAAAATAAAGTAGAGCCCCTGCTGCTGCAAAATGGGGAATGTTGCACATAAGAATTCAGTCGAGTGGGGCGGAGCGTTTTCTCCAAAGTAACCGAAGTCATAGGAAAAAGTGGATGTTTGGATGTTGAGGAATTTCCACATATGTTTTGGTACTGCACAGCTGTGAAGACAGTCAAATCTGTGTATTTGTATATAAGATAGTGAAGAAGGTTTCCTCTGGTTCTGGAAGGAAATGAGAATAGATTAGATTTATTTTGCACATATTAAAACATTCTATAGAAAAGTTTAAAAAATAATAAAATAATACACTGCAAGGGGAGGCAGAAAAACCCAGTTGGCTTATTGTGAAGCCTCCATCTAAATATTTTTACTTAAAGGTCAAGTGTGTAAGATTTAGTTTAAAGGAAAGTGTTGACAGAAATTTAATGTAGAATAATCCTCCTGGTGTTTTCAGGTGTTTGTTTCATCCACATTGTATGAATTGTAGTTTTGTTTACCCCAGAAAAGGCCCTTTATATTTAAATACTTTATATTTACATCCAGTGGACCCTCTCTACGGAGGCCGCCATGTTTTTTGACATTAGCCCAGACTGAACAAACTAAACACGTTTTGAGTTTTTATGTCACTGAAGGTTTCCACAGGTTCCTTTTCATGTTTGGAAGTGGAGGGTGAGGTGAGGGGTGTTCAGCTGCCACATACACTTGCATTCCAATAGTAAATAGTAAGTCTTGAGTTGCTCAGGAATATTCCCTTCAGTTGAGTGTCTTAAAGATAACAGCACATATTTGAAAAATATTGATGTCATAAATCCTAAGAAAGTGTAATTTCTGAAATATCTGAGAAAGCTGTGTTGTTTGGTTTCATTGAAGATAGGACACAGAAAGATGCTTGTTATATATTGTTTATATAATTAATCTTATTATTATAATGGAATGAAAATCCTTATTCAGTGGAGAGTTCAGACAATACGTTGATTCAATTTGACTTTTGCAAATAGCCATGAGATTTATATCAGCATGTAAGAACACCTGACAACCGTTTCAGCCACACTGAGTTCTACAGTGTCAGAGTCAGATGGAAAAAGCAGTTGAGGTGACACGATGTAACTCTGCAGCTGGTCCGGGGTCAGTTGGTGCAGTAGGAGGAGCCACTGTTTGTTTAGAAGCAGATAACTTAAAGAGTATCTCCATTAAAGCTGACATAAATAGAATTTTGAGGTTCTCTTATCGTAGCTCGGCATGCAGCTTTGGTGTTTTAGTGCAGGTGCAAGATAATTCTCAGGGGTAAATGGGGTTAAAGATTCAAAACACAGTCAGTTTTGTGCATGAGCCAAAAAACAGGGTTACTGGTCTGCAACACTTTTTATTACTCTGCAGAAGACTAATCTCTCCAAAAAGTTAGAATGACTGAATCAATGAAACAAGGGAAAAACGTGCAGGGTCCTATTCACCTATTTCCCCCTTTTCTGGGGGACTGAGAAAGGGCATAAAATACCTTTAATAGAAGACTTAACTTTCTGTGGAACACATTTTACACCTGGCCTCAAATTTTTCCTTTGCTCCTGCCACAAATATAAAGATAAAGTGATTACCTCAGGTAGAATCAGGACACCTGGAGATTTCAAACAGAAGAAAAAGACACAGCGAAAGGACAACGTGTCCTCCCTGGTTTGGGCAGTGTAGTTATCAAGAATACCTTTTTTTTTTCTATAATCTTGACTTTTTTATGAAATATTAATAATAATATGACCTTTTTAGCCACAAATCAAATGAACCCATGTGAGAAGTTCAGTGGGGGAATGTCCCTTTGGTGGAACTGCTGACAACTCACAGACATCTGAAACATGACGACGGGCCACAGCGAGACATTACTGTGTTGTGAGGGGTCACAAACCAAACAAGGTCGGGAATCACATGGTTTCATCTCCAATAATGTTTTTAATTTTCTATTATTATCTTTATATGTACTTTATGTAAAATCTTAATCTGAGTTATAATTTATAAGTAAGAAGTATATTATTGTCTAAAGTGGAGCGATGCAGAGGTATATCGTGGTGTAACCTAAGGAAAGTACATCAAAGTTGATGAGTTAATGATTATATTTGCATAAATATATATAAATACAAGCACTCACACATACACAATAAACACACTGTGTGACACACATTTTATTCCCCAGACAAAGTGTATGCTCATTTATTTATGTTATATTTATATATATATCTATTTCCTTGTATTTTCCTCTCTGAATGTTCTTTTCAAGCAGCTTTAAATTCCTGCAGGTGGCACACTTTTCTTTGTCTGCACAAAGTCTGTCACTTTCTGTTTATCATGAAATGTGTCTAAACCAATGTCTCGTTTAAAACAGAACAGACGGTGGGTCACAATCACTGAAAAAAATTTAACTAATTCCTTTAGTGTTCTATAAAACCTTCTGTGCCTTCTGAACAACATTCATTTGGTTGCATTACTTGTAGAAATGGCTCAGTATCAGTTTCAGTGCATGTACATATCACATTTTAGTGCACAGTGCACTTTAAAACAATTTTGAGGTTTTATCAACATTGTATTATAATTCCCCCTGCTGCTTTAGTTAACTCAACCCTAGCTGAATAAATTGTTAAAATCTCAACATTAGATTGGAAATAAAACTCAGAGTTAAGTCTGTCAAACTCAAGTCAAGTGTCAACTCAGTTTCGTTTTCTCAGGTTGGAGAAAAGTTCTACTTTTATTAACAAGATTGACTATGACACTCCATTGTGGAGCAAAATAAAACACATGCTACAAAGTTTGCTAATATGCACAAACCTATTTAGAACCATGATGAGTTTAGTGAATATGTGATAGGGACGTTTATTCAACCCATCTCAGGTCACTTAAAGTCAGCAAACCTTCCCATTCGGATTAAAATTCACAAGAGTGGAGAACTAACACTCGACTCTGGAGCTCTTCAGCTCCACTGAAGCACAATATCAACTGACATGATAAATGGCCTTAAAGCAATGGCTCATCATTATTGGAAAGTCACTCGGTCACTCTCTTGCTGAGGGTTTGACAAGAAGCTTGACGTCTGATGTCATCTTCCAGTTAGCTTAGCTTAGCATGAAGACAGGAAACAAGGTGAAACAGCCAGCCCCGCCCTGTCCAACGTTAGTTCTGAAGCACCAAACAAAAGTGCATCTTGACTCTGTCTGCTTCATTGGAACCATAACTGATTGTCGGGCCTGTAAATTATGCTACAGGGAGCTGAAGGCATCCTCCGGACAGATCCTTTTGAACCTTGGGTATTAGCCAGAGATTCTTTAAGAGGGCAAACATCAGCAGTCACTGGCGTCTCGTGGGTTGTGAAACTCTTGCGAGCACAGTCCAGCTGAGCATGCGGTTACAGCCTGCACAAGGGCCACCTATCTCTTTGATTAGGTCAACTCCTTTAGCACCCTTCACTCTTCCACTAACACGGTGATGTCAATATTATACAGATAATGAAACAGTCAGGTAAACAAGTATAAAGACACAGATACGTCTAAAGTGCTGCCACTTATTTAGCAGCTTTATTTCATCAGCTTCCAAGTAGGTTAAGGTTTCTGCTTTGATACTTTTGTGCAGAGCATAAATACAAAACTATAAAAATTAAACATATAGAACAGAGTATAAAAAGATAAATACTAGAAATAAACTAGAACAAGATGTGTACAAGCCATAGACTCAAATATGTAAATGAAATAACAAAAAATAATTACAAATTTGCTGCAGCAAACTAAAGAAAATCCATTTTTCAATATTTTGTGTGTTTATACTATATATAAAAATGTAAGGTGTATTTTAGCAGAAACAGATGAAACATACAAAATATGATATCATATGTATTGTATTTGTATAGGCTATTTATAATATTCTATCATTGCATCTTATTTTTGGCGAAAATAACTGTTCCTAATTCCTGACCCATTTTCAGAAGTTCTCCTCGATAAAAACCTTTAAGGCCGTCCAGTCCAGTTGATAAGAATTTGCTGGCGCAAGGGATTGTGTTTCAGAATGGCTTTTTTCTCCAGTCACGTAGCCCGACCGCACACCCGACCAATGGTCTCAGAGGGACACAGAGCCGCGCCTATAAAGGCGGCTGTGCACAGCCAGCGTCTCCATTCGTGCGTAAACCGAGAAGTGGATCCTGCGCCGACGATTGATTCCACTGAACCTCACCATCATCACCGTTACATCGGACAATGCTGCGAGTCAGGTGTCTGAGAGGAGGTAGCAGGGGGGCCGAGGCTGCCCATCTGATCGGAGCCATGGTTGGTATTATGGTGGTTTTACATTTAATCTCTTATTTATCTCATTTAGGCCTTTTTGTTTGTTCATGGTTTAAAAAAAGCACATGACAGAGAAGGTGAATAAAGGAAATACCTACATCTAAAGCTGCTTCTTTCATTTTAGATCAATTAAATTCACTTTTGTTTTTATTGTTTGTTTGATTACGTAGTTTTAACTGTTCAAAAAGAAAAATCTTTGTGTGGGCTGAAGGAAAAGAAAAAAATCACAAACACGTTAAAACACTGATTCTGTCAAATTGCTGCAAAGTTTGCTGGGATTCTAACTGCAGGGAGTTCTTTCTTGTGCTGTGGTCCCTGAGTGACAGTGAACAGCTGTTCGGCACAGATGAGCTCCCAAACCCAGCATACTGGAGCTGCTCCTGAGCCAGCAGAGGCCTCATGCACTGCAGGGCCTGTATCTGTGCAGATAACACTGCTTCTTAATTACACGTGTACTTTGGCACCAAGCCTAGACATTACTCATTGATATCTACGATCACTGTGCTTTCTCTTTACCTGAATTAGCCTTTTATTGTGGGAGCTGTCTTTTCACATTATCACTTTTATCACTGCCACTACAATGAAAAATACAGCATGCAACATGCAGCAATTACATGTTCACGCATCTGTTTGTTGTTTAACCGATTTTAAAATGCAAACACAAGAAGAATTCTTTAAAATCTAGATAATTGTCACAAGTTAAAGCTGTTCTCCATATACATATATATATATATATATATATATATATATATATATATATATATATATATATATTACTCCTCCTTTGAGTTTATTTTCTGCTGCGGAATTTAAAAAAAATAAAGGTTCTGATCCATTTTTCTTCTTCCTGCTCAGCTCGGCCGCTCAGTGACCGGATGGGTTCACAGGGCGTTCCAGAGCACCTCAAGTGCAGCAGCTGTTCAGTCCCAGTCTGCAGTAGAAGAGGAGCATGTTACTGGACTCGTACAGCAGGACTGTCCCGTCAGCTGCTTCAATGAATGGGACCCTCTGGAGGAGGTGATTGTGGGTCGTGCTGAAAATGCCAATGTCCCTCCCTTCACTGTGGAAGTGAAAGTAAGCACCAGTTTAAAAATGATTTGCATATTACTTCATCTTCATGCGCCTGCAAGTCACTGCTGCAGAGTTTCAAAACTGCGAGACGATACGATTAACGGTATGTCGTCACATTACAACCTTCTCCACAGGCTAACACATATGAGAAGAACTGGCCCTTCTTCCAGAAGTATGGTGGCCAGCCTTTTCCTGCGGACCACTTGAAAAAAGCTGTTGCTGAGATTGAAGAAATGTGCAATATCCTGCGTCACGAAGGCGTCAATGTGAGGAGGCCGGAGCCCATCGACTGGTCCCTGAACTACACCACTCCAGATTTCTCATCCTCCGGTAAAATACTGCTCAACCAACAAAAGCACTAAGATTAACTTGTGAATACTTGTGAATAGTAATGGTCCATTAATATATTTAGCTACTGATACTTTTACTTACGTAGTGAATATTTAGAATCTGTGTTTACGTAATACTCCTTGTGAGCTATAATAATGTTACTTGTTGCAGGTTTGTACGCTGCCATGCCCAGAGACATCCTCTTAGTTGTGGGAAATGAGATCATCGAGGCCCCTATGGCCTGGAGATCTCGCTTTTTCGAGTACCGGGCCTACAGACCTTTGATGAAGGAATACTTCAATAAAGGTGCTAAATGGACCACGGCTCCCAAACCCACCATGGCTGACGAGCTGTACGATCAGGTGAGGCCTGAGTGTAACCAGGGATTCTGGACCTTTAGCTGTGAAATCCTCAAGACAGTCAACCTGCATCAAAACACCTTCTTTACTTGATCACTGCTTAGTTGCTATAGTGTAAATCCTGCTCGTGTCATTCAGGACTACCCCATGCGCACCGTGGAGGACAGACACAAGCTGGCCGCCCAGGGGAAGTTTGTAACCACGGAGCACGAGCCCTGTTTCGATGCTGCTGATTTCATTAGAGCCGGGAGGGACATTTTTGTCCAGAGGAGTCAGGTATGAAGTTGAACTTAAAAAAAACCTTCATCCACTCAAACGCTTCTAGGTAGAGTCCAAGTATTTGCATCAGAACAGCACATCACTTTTTTTCCCAGGTTACAAATTATATGGGAATTGAATGGATGCGTCGTCATCTGGGATCAGACTACAAGATCCACATAATCTCATTCAAAGATCCCAACCCCATGCACATCGACGCCACTTTCAACATCATCGGGCCTGGACTGGTGCTGTCTAACCCTGATCGCCCGTGTCACCAGGTACTTCTCACTTCATGTGCTGCCCTGGAGCGGGATGAAAAATGTTCTCATGTTCACCACGGCTCTCTATTCTCAGATTGAGATGTTCAAGAAGGCTGGCTGGACTGTGGTGAAACCTCCAACGCCTCTGATGCCTGATGGTGGGTAATGACACTGAAGCTCCTTCTCTCTTCCATCATGAATTCTTACTAACATAGAGACACCCCCCCCTCTGTCTGTGCAGACCACCCACTGTGGATGTCCTCCAAATGGCTGTCCATGAATGTCCTGATGTTGGACGAGAAGCGTGTTATGGTTGAAGACAATGAAACCACCATTCAGAAAATGTTTGAGAAACTTGGTGAGTTTATTCATTAGTATGAAGATATTCTCTGCATTCGGATAATGAAACCTCCGTGTTGCATAATAACGATGCATGTTGTTTTTGCTGCAGGTATCAAGACCATAAAGGTGAGCATTCGCCATGCCAACTCCCTGGGTGGTGGCTTCCACTGCTGGACAACCGATGTCCGCCGCCGTGGTACCCTGCAGTCCTACTTCCACTAGCCTTGCCAGAAATAGGCAGTTTCTATTGAGCTTTAAAGATTAAAGCCTCTGTTCTTTCTTTAAATCCAATGTAGAAGTTAATGTCAGTCTATCGTTGTTTTGCATCCCGCGCTGCGATACAACAAACTAAAGTTTCCAAATCTCAAACCCTGATTTAAAACCTATTTGCATTTGAAATGTGTATGTTCACATGAGTGAATCCAGCTGATAACGTTATAATCTCGTGATGGCAGGTGGCGCCAGAGAGACGTCTTCCTGATGAACGTGTAGGAATTGTTTTTAGTTGACATCGCTGTGCATCACAATGCCTTTGCCAACAGCTTTGTTCAGATATATACAATATATGCTCAACAGTAACAAATACTTCAGTCAGTAATCTCAATATTAACTGCATTTCTGGCCTGGCTATTGTGAAGCCACAACTTTGAGGACAAGGTACAATTTGGTATGTGAATCTCATCGAACTAGGGCACAGGAGGAGAGACGCTGCCTCCTCACCAAAACTCGGACATCTTAATTCTTCCAAAGTATTTTTATTTTTATTTGAAGAAATGTGTAAAAGTTGTTCCATAGGTCATGAAACAATTTTAATTTCTTATCGCTGGTATATTATTTTGTAAAGATTTTAATTGATTGAACAGACAAAGTTCTATTTATATTTTTCATACTCTTTATTGGATGTCCCAACAATTAGTGTTTTTATATATATACTTAAAAAGTATGCGGTCCATATCAGATGTTGTATACCTTTTGCCTCTGCTGTTTTCTCCTATGGCAAATCTGGGCCAGTTATATGCAAATAGTCCTTCTCATTGAACTGCTTGGCTGCTTGTGTGTGCAAAGCAAAAAACGCCTAAAAGAGTGAAAAAGGTTTTGTTGTGAAGATGAATGTTTTATGATTCCTTTTGTTGGAAATACAGTCGGATGTCTTGAGATTTATGTTAAAACCACGAATTCAAGGGAAGTTAACGGCTCAGCAGAGGAACTAATGTGATGCTTTGTATTATGCAACATTATTATGTTAATTAAAAAGAGTTGTGTCATTTTTTTGTGGTTGTGAATTTGTTATTTGTTATATTTGATAATTTTACATTTGTGAAAAAGCACAAATTGCATATTCTTACAGTTTATGACTATCACCATTGTAGTACTGAGATCCATGACAATATCCATCCTTCATCTATACCACTCAACCTTTGAGGGTCTCGGCAGAGCTGCAGTCCCACCTGGTGAGAGGCGTGGTACATCCTGGACAGGTCGCCAGATGTCTCAGGACTAATACGACAAAATACTTGCAAAGTCCTTGAAACAAAGTTTTACTTGAGTAAATGTACAAGAGTATTATCTTCAAAATGAACTGACAGGTATCAAAAGAGTGTCTCCTTGTGTTATATTTATCACATTTACACTATTCAATTATTACTACAGATTAATTTTAATATCAAGTTTTACCCTCTATATTAAATTAATCTCATGTTAGAAGCTGATTGTGTATTTTACAGAAGCAGGCTCTGCTGCACCTGTTTGAACCGTACCTGTGTCCTTATGGTGTTGGGATACTGTTGTACAATAGACGAAGGGTCACACAAACATGTGAAGCTGGGATCTGTTCACCTGGCCCCAGATTTACTGTCACACATCTTGTCTGTAAAACATTAACCAGGCTGATGTGTCAGTGGGAGGAAAATTACTTCATATACTCTTATGTAAACCAGACTAATGCAAACACTTACTCAACAGTAGAGATAAAAATAACGACTTTGTTTATGTATTACTTGTATTTAAGGTGAAGAATGAATTTGGACGATCATCTTAATTATAAAATAAATGTCTGGTTTGTGGCTAATTTAATCACCGAATCGTCTTTATCAATAGAGTGTGAAGTTCACTGAGGCTGTGACAGAGGTGAGAGGTCAGTCAGGTGAAATGTGTAAAGGACAGGAAGCTGTTATATGTTCTCACGTGTACCTGTGGTCAATACTCAATACTATAGTTCGAATCTAAATTGATGAAATTATCAGTAAAAGATGAATCAATGGTCTTTAAATGAAAAAATCATAATACAATAGTTTAACTCTAAACCTTATATTGCTCATAAGTAACCACTCACTCCAGAAAATTTGACCCGCCTCATTGTCTTTTTGGACGATAACCTTAAATTTGATTTTTTTGATTTTTTCTCTGTGCATTCAACTTATGCTACATTTAGCTTTCTTTGTATTTCAATACTTTCAGTATATTTAATTTAAATGCAGATTCCTGAATTTACTTTGTGGTGCCAGGTTATAATTGCTCTTTTCTCTCTATCACTATTGTTATTATTATTATCATCATTAGTAGTAGTAGTAGTAGTAGTATTAATATTACGTCGTCAAGACCAAACAAGATTTGATGAAGTAAGTGACATTGGAAACTGCATTGAAATAAAATGAGTGAGGAACTGCAACATGTTGCTCTATCTACCGTCTGCCGCCATCTAGTGGTCAAATCAACACACAGCACCCTGACATTCATTGAGCAGATTCTTTTTGCATCAAATAATGATTTTGCTGCTAAATTAATTTTAGCAGAGAAAATAACAAAGAATTATTATGTATGTAAGAATAATGAATCCTGGTGAAAACAAACAGACACATTGATTGAACTGATATCTATGAGTGTATAAAATTGGATGCAGCTTGATTAAATTTAAGGAGACCGTCGGGACTGCTGTGATGAGAGCATCATTTCAAATTTAACTGTAGCATCCTGCAGTTTGACCAATAGTGGACACTTATGTCCTAGAAGGAAACAAATTTGATTCGTGACTATATGCTGACTTGAGGATTGATCCAGTTAGAGCTACATCTGTCTGAATTCACAATGTCCACAATCTGATGAACCACTTTCAAACCCATGTGACTTCAATGGGACAAAAACCATCCACATCCTAACTATGTCTACTATATGACATTTTGCTGCCTGTATAACTGCTTCACCGTGGATCAAGCACTGCAGAGCGAGTGTCTGCAGCTGAAGCCTGTTTGTGTGAGTTACAGAATTCAGAATCACATTATGAATCGAAGGAAAACTGCACCTAAAGTCGCTCCTCTTCTCAGCTGCTGGGTTGCACCTCATTTTTTCTTCTCCTCGTTAATCCCTCGTTTGCACAGCGGCCTACTTGTGCATCACTGCAGCTGTATTCAAGCTGGAGAATTGATTGGGATCTGATAATGATCAGGCTTTAATGCCTGCAGGAAAACTGCAGTCATTCACTTGATAGTCTGAGTAAGGTTACTCAACAGTCGGCCAGATCACATGTTCAAATCTCATGCTGCTCGACCCTCAGAGGGTGCACACAAGATGTCAAATACAAGTGTCTTTTTTTGTGTGTGATGGTAATAAAGTCAATGAGAAATATAAGATCAGATAAACTGTATTGATCTCATGCAGGGACATTGGAAATTGCCAAACGCATTAATGTACAAAGTACAAGAACAGACTGCTAGATAAGTAACATCACAAGACTAGAATAATGTTTATGTCAGTGCTATTTGTTTATGGTCTGCTGAGAACAGTTGAAATTAAAGAAATAAAAGCACCACAGATGTGACAAACAAATGAAGATTGTGACACTGATGCTGTAAAATGATGTTTTCTGAGGTTTTACATTCTTTACCTCATACAAAATTGTTTTTTTCCCTTTAAAAGTGAATATAAACTATAAACTATTTTTGTTGCACAATGTTACACAATGCTTAATAAGAAGTAAAACCAAACAACACAACTAAGGATAAAGTTGTGTTGTAAACATACAAGATAAAGCAGTAAAAATGACTAAAACAAGCAGATGTGTTGTTTATGGGATAATCAAGCTCAGTAAAGACTCAGTCATTCTTTTAACGCTGTGAACACAGTGTGTAAATCTTTCTACTGTAACCTGAATGATGCTGCACTGGATCATGGCCATGATCTAAGATACTATGAGCACAATGTGTGCAGACACTTGCTGAAACAGGAGCGTGGCTGAAAACAGTTTGGGTTTTCTGGCTTGTGTCAAGAGACGCTGAGCTGTTGACAACTCACAGGTTTCACTGACACCAGGGACATGCTGTAGTATCCAGACAGTTTAAAAAGTTTAAATGTATTTATCGTAATATTTACATTAAATGTGACATAATCTAATAATTGGCTGCCTTTAGACAGTTGACCTTCTTTCTCATGCTAATATATTTCACGCTACATTTTTTATATTATTTTATAACAGTTGGCAGTTGAGAGTAACAGAATATCTCAAATAACTAAATGACCGTGTTGTCTCCTTAAATATACTTTTTGGGTTGTGACACTTAATAAACCATCACAAACAGTTTATTAAAATATTTGTATTAAACCACCAAAGTCATAAATTCTCTCATGTGGAGATTGTAACATACTTTTATGATTTTATGATTCCAGATTTTAAACATATTGTCATCAAATGTAACATATTGAACACATCTTCATATTGTGCATTTTCTTGTTTCTTTTTTTACATTTACTTTAATATAATACATTTTTGGGTATATGGTATAGTTTCTGGTCGAAAGTACTTGCTTTTTAATTTGCTTAATTATTTATTCGGTTTGTTATCCATCAAAGCATCAAAGAAAATTCCTTGTATGTAGAAAAACCTACTTGGCAATAAATTCAATTCTGATTCAGAAAATTGCTCATCTGGCGCCTCCTAGCGGAGGCAACACACAAAAACCACTGTACTAGTGTAGTGTACTAGTGTTCCCAAACTCAGGGTGGGGACCCTCAGGGTGGGGACCCTCCGGGGGGTCGTGAGACGTTGAGAGGGGCGTCGCAATGTGATTTCCAGAAATGAAATAAAATTTAAAAGCAAGTAGAAATTGTGTATTTGAGTCATAATTGTTACAAAAGACAAACATAGGAGTTAAATTCATGAAATGATTAAACTGATTAGCTACAGCATCCAATTTACTCATTTTCATTTATTTTGAAAGTCAGAGGCTGAAAAGTTTTGGAATGTAGTGATGATGCCTTATTGTTATATATATATGAAGAAGTGTGTGAATTTATTCAGTATTATCTCTGATGGAATAAACTTCCTCCTCTCACTAAAACCCTTTTATAGACATGTCAAGAAATCTGTTTTGAAGAATGTGTACACATGTTTTTGAGCTCCTGCATCATTATTTATTCCTTGATTCAGTAACTTCTCATCTTTACCAGTTGGATTAAATGTAGTTTTCTTTCTGCTGTGAACCAACCTGTTGTTCTCCAACTCAAATGATTACATTATACATGGAGGACGACCTTGAACACAGTTGTGCATTCCAGCTGCTCGATGCTCCATCGTGCTACGTTTCTCATGCAGCTCCTTTCAGAAGACTCTCCCTCCAGGACTCCTTGGTTTCCCGTGACGGCGCTCATACGGAGAGGACGGTGGTGTGTCCGAAGAGGAAGGTGATCCAGGACAGGAAGATTAACCAGGACTGAACTCTCATCAGTGAACTTAAGCTTCATACACTCTGACCATATCCTTCCTCGGCTGCCTAAAACATGCAACAAATTCCCAGGATGCATCAGTACCAGTTACCGCTTTTACACCGAGGTGTGAGAGAAGCCTCAGGATCCCTGCAAATGACATAGAAACAATTTGCATAGAAAATAACAACTAGGTTTAAATTGACATTTTCTTCTTGTTTAGGTAAATTGTTGCAAAGAAATGCTGATGTCTGTGTTTTTCTTTTTCTTTATTCCCTTTAAACCTAAAAGCTTAATAACCAAATGAATGAAATTGCAGTTCACAGGACTGAGAGGAGTGGTGCTACAGAAAGCATCTTTAGATCAGTCTCGTTCCCGTTCAGCCTTCGCAGTCTACCCGGCCCACGAAGGAGGCGGTCTTCATAGGCTGCTGTTCTGGAGATACAAAGAAGAAGTGATAAGAAACACCTGACTGACATAAGAAAGGTTCACTGCACAGATCAGACAGTAAATTGAACATGTCACCTGGAGGAGCTTAAAAACGTGGCAACACAAAGTACAGTGATAACCAAACACACACAAATGACAGAAGTGCAAATAAGGCAACTGTAAATGTGTCATGAATAATGCAGCGAGTGTCACTGGAAAAAGAACTGAGGGTGATCCATCATCTGTCACATCTCTGACACAACAATTCACATTCTTTGTGTTGCACTCTTTTTGTTCTTGTTTTTATGAAAAGCAGTTAAACAGTTTGAGGCTGTGATTTACAGATTGTTATTCTCATGCTCTGGCTGCAGCAACTCAACGCACCATCTTCATATGATCAATGTTAATATATTAAATCAATAACGGTCTGTAATATGAAAAGGTTGCTGGTTCACACTGAAAATGAAGAGCTGCATCCATCTGCAGCCATGTGCCGCCTTCAGACTATTGAAGTCTAAGGTCTACTGAAGTCTGAAGTATATGAAGTTTTACTCAGAAAGGTCTGTTGGGCTTCTCCACCTGTGAGGAGCTTTGTTAAGTCTAAGACAGAGTGCCTGCATTATGAACATTGAGTTACAATATGTTTAACAGAGGATGAAATCATGCTACTGCTGCATTATGGTAAATGTAGGATGCAGCAGTTTTGGACATCCAAAAGTCTCCGGTCATTATTGTCTTTGTCTGTCTCCTGGAAGTTTAGCTTTCTTTATGGAAGTGCAAAATGTCGGAGTATCCCCTTAAAAACATCCACGCCTCTTCTTTCTATGTAAACCATCATGTCAGCCCCTCTTGCACATGAAAACACGTGGCAATGCTCCATGAAGACATTTGCTCCCCCAATCTGTACGTCCCATCTCAACTACTGTGCTGCACACCCGGCGTCAGGTGACACCACGCTATCCGATGCCGCCAGTGTGTTCTGCACTTCCTCACACATGTACTGTATGGTAAATCATCCAGGGCCACATTATGGGCTGATACTGGCCTGCAGCAGATACATCGGCTGATCAGTAACAAGATGTGGCAAGTTTGTGCTATTTTAGAAACAATATGACATAATTTGTCCACTAGGAGACAATGACAAGCTTGTTTTTCCACTAATGTTCTGCTTGGTACTACCTTGGTCACAATATTCAGATTAAAGGGATCTTTGTCAAAGATGTTTGCTTATGATCTGCATTTACGTTTGAATATAATCTCAGCCAGGATCTAAACACTGTTTGTTCCTGAAATGCCTGAGTGTTTGTTGGGAGTCATTTTCTGAGATTGTTTTGTTGGTTCTTAAAAAATGTGAGCGGAGTGAAATCGTGTAGTTTAAATGAGTGGACGCCTGAAAAGTGACTTTTAAATAAGGATGTGTCATCAGCCAGTCAAAACAAACCCGAGATGGGTCATAAACAAATACAGAGCTCAAGGAAAAGAGTGATTTAACTATGATTAAGAAAATTGGATGTCTTTTTATTTATTTAATTCTTTAATTAGATGAGTTCATTCTGCTTTTTTACAATCCACTTGAACTAGCATTTGAACACAGTGTTTGCAGTGGAGGTCATGGGATCTATAGTGCACATGGTGTGACTGATGACCAAGTGTTGGGAGCATATAGAGTTTCTTTTTGGTCTTTACTTGATCATATGATGAAAAACTAATTCAACAACACGAACATTGTTTTTAAGTATCTATAGGAGTTGCCAGTTCCTACTCTATATTAATAGCTGCATATAATACGACTACAGGCTATAGCGAATACAGAAAGCTTTGTTTACCCTCTCAAACCAAAGTTTACAGCCGTGATCTGAGGCTGGAACAGAACCTAACATGCATTGAGCTGTTTGCAAAGTCACTGAGTCAGCTGAAAAGTTGTGAGCCACAACACAGTCTGCAGACAAAGCTCATGACACGACACAAGGTACGATACATGGCTGAAGTGTGATAATGGGTTTTATTGTTCGGATTGTACTGCACACACACACACACACACACACACACACACACAC